CTGGACCAAACTTGACACAAAAATTCCATACGCCTAAATATTAACACAGATGGAGTTTGGAGGAAATAGACCTTGATATTTGGGATTTGTAGTTACTGGGATTTATAGTTCACTACAATTAAAGAGCATTCTGAAACCCACAAACGACAGAAATGGGGCAAACTTCCCACACAGAACCCCCATGACCAACAGAAAATACTTAAGGCCATCCAGTCCAACTCTCTTCACCAGGGCAAGAAAATGTAATCAGAGCCCTCCTGACAAAGAGCCATCCAGTCATAAATATAGATAGATAGATAGATATGATTTTCTCTCTCACACACACAGATATAGTATCATAGATTTGAAAGAGACCCTTAAGGAAGGACTATGATATGTTGCATATTCCAGAGTAGGCAAACCAGACACTCTCCACATCAACACTGACAAAGAAACAACAAGAAATTCTGTTTACATAAAGCATAAAGGAATTACATATATTAGAAACCAACACTTTCTCATTACTTTATTTTCCAGATCACCAGACTGGACCACAGCAACACGTGGCAGGGGACAGCTAGTAGAATTATAAAATTGGAAGAGACCTCATGAGCCATCCAATCCAACCCACTGCCAAGAAGTAGGAAAACCACATTCAAAGCACCCCTTAGAGATGGCCATCTAGCCTCTGCTTAAAAGCCTCCAAAGAAGGAATCTCCACCACACTCCGGGGCAGAGAGTTCCACAGATGAACAACTCTCAGAGTCAGGAAGTTCTTCCTAATGTTCAGATGGAATCTCCTTTCTTGTAGTTTGAAGCCATTGATCTACATCCTAGTCTCCAGGCCGGCAGAAAATAAGCTTGCTCCCTCCTCTCTATGAATTCTACTCACATATTTACACATTGCCATCATGTCTCCTCTCAGCCTTCTCTTCTTCAGGCTAAACATGCCCAGTTCTTTAAGCCACTCCTCATAGGGTTTGTTCTCCAGACCCTTGATCATTTTAATCACCCTCCTCTGGACACCTTCCAGCTTCTCAACATCTCCCTTCAATTGTGGTGCCCAGAATTGGACACACTATTCCAGATGTGGTCTCACTAAGGCCAAATAGAGGGGTAGTATGCTTTCCCTAGATCTAGACACTATATTCCTATTTATGCAGGCCAAAATCCCACTGGCTTTTTTTGCATCATGACATCGTTGGCTCATGCTTAATTTGTCCATGAGGACGCCAATATCTTTTTCATAGGTACTGCTGTCGAGTCAGGCGTCCCCCATTCTGTATATTTGCATTTCATTTTTTCTAAGTGGAGTATCTTGCATTTGTCCCTGTTGAACCTCATTTTGTTAGTTTTGGCCCATCTCTCTAATCTGTTAAGAACATTTTGAATTCTGCTCCTGTCTTCTGGGGTATTGGCTATCCCTCCAAATTTTGTGTCATCTGCAAACTTGATGATCATGCCTTCTACCTTGAGTTTGGGAATCTAAGTCATTAATAAAGACGTTGAACAGAACCAGGCCCAGGATAGAATCCTGCGACACTCTACTTGTCACTTTTTTCCAGGATGCAGAGGAAGTAAAGACTTTCTGTATATATTTCAGATTTCAATATTAATGTCAAAAATACGTAGTGAGCACCCTCTGGGTTTGTTTGCTAAACCAATTACAGATCCCCCTAACCGTAGTTTTGCCTAGCGCACATTTGACTAGTTTGTTTGCTAGAAGGTCATGCAGGACCTTGTTGAAGGCCTTACTGAAATTCAGATACACTACATCCACGGCATTCCCTGCATCTACCAAGCTTGTAACTCTATTGAAAGAAAAGATCTGATTAGTCTGGCACTTCTTCTACTGGATTAGCCTGCCAGAACTTCTTCTGTTCTCCAATAATTCTCAAATACAATTGCCAGTGGCTCTGAACTTGTTTCTGCCAGTTCTTTTAATACCTTTGAATGTAATTCATCTGGCTCTGGAGACATGAATTCATTTAGATTAGTCAGATTTTCCCATACAGCCTACTTACCTGTTCTTGCTGAATTTCCCTTATTGCATCCTCTGTTCCTTCATTTAAGTACTGTTAACCTTTTGGGTGAAGACTGAGCCACAGAAAGTGTTCTTGCCTTTTCTCTGGCCTCTGTTAAAATTGTACCATTATCTGTCTACACTAACTTAACATTTCCTTGTTATTTCCCCCACCCCCTCCTTTTCTTTTCTTTTCTTTTTTTTTTTTTTTTGGCTATGGACATAACCAAAAACACGTTTTTGTTGTTTTTAATCTTTCTAGAAAGCCTGAGAATATTCTGTGAATTCCTCTTTGGTAATTTCTCCCTTTTTCAATTTTTGTAGCTGCCTTTTATACAAAAGCTCAATTTTCAATCCCTGGCATCTCCAGCTTAATTTAACTTGGGTAGTAACACTGAAAATGTTTCATTAAAAAGACATTCAGTGCAGAAAGTCATAGTGCAATATCACACAGGCAAAATCACTTGCGCTTAGTCTGCAGAATTTAACATGCATAAGGAACAATCTGGAGACTGGTTTCACTTGGTTCCCTTTGACAGGAATATAATACTCTTGAGCAGTGGTTCTCAAACCTTTCTAACACCGTGACCCCTAAATATGCTTCCTCATGTTGTGGTGACCCCCAACCATAAAATTATTTTGTTGCTCCTTTATAACTGTAATTTTGCTACTGTTACGAATCGTAATGTAAATATCTGATATGCAGGATGTGTTTTCATTGTTACAAATTCAAGATAATTAAAGCATCATGATTAATCAGAAAAAATATGTTTGGGGGAGCATGGAAAACAGATGATGGGATTTGCAGTACCGTCAACCGATTCGGCTCTGACTTCCACAGACCACTGAGACCTCCACACAGAACTCCCATGTCAAACAAAAAATACTGGAGGGGTTTGGGAGGAACTGACAGTGATTTAGGGGAGATGTAGGGGCCCTCTCTTCACACACTCGCGCGTGCTTTGTCTTTTCTCACACACATAAACATTCTTTCTTTATACCAGGCCTGGGCCAACTTTGGCCCTCCAGGTGTTTTGGACTTCAACTCCCACAATTCCTAACAGCCTCAGGCCCCTTCCTTTCCCCCTCAGTCGCTTAACCATTGCAATATTTTTGAATTTAATTTAAAACCTAAAAAATATGCAAACACAAATTAAAACACAAGTTTTCTCTGCTGCATGTGCTCTCCCTCTCTCTCTTTCTTTCACACACACACACACACACACACACACACACACTCCCTCTACAAATCCAAGCCAAGACTGGATACAGGCATGTTGGGGGGGGGGGGGGAGGAAGATGTTCCAGTAGCATTCTCTCCAGACATTTTGCCTACATTATTGCCCTGCGCCCTTGCCGGTCGGCGGGACTGCGAGGGACGCGAGGGAGGCCTCAGGCAAGGCAAGGCCTTGCACCAAGGGGCCCTTGCCTGCTCCGCGCCCCTGCCGGCCGGCTGGAGCGCGAGGGATGCGAGGGAGGTCTAGGACAAGGCAAGGCCTTGCAGAAAGGGGCCCTCGTCTGTCCCGCACCCCTGCCGACCGGCGGAAGCGCGAGGCACGCGAGGGAGGCCTCGATCAAGGCAAGGCCTTGCACCAAGGGACCCTTGCCTCCCCCGCGCCCCTGCCGGCTGGCGGGAGTGCGAAGGATGCAAGGGAGGCCTCGGTCAAGGCAAGGCCTTGCACCAAGGGACCCCCGCCTCTCCTGTGCCCCTGCCAGCCGGCGGGAGCACAAGGGAGGCCTCGCGCAGACATTTTCAGGGGCAGGGCCAACCGAGGTGCCTTCGCGACACCCAGAAAATGGCCCAGTGACCCCCCTGGGGGTCGCGACCCCCAGGCTAGAACCGCTGCTCTTGAGTATTTCCAGTCACTGACACAGCAATAATAGCGGTTTGCCTGGCCAAGAGATATATAGTTCAAAGCAATTATATTCCTTTAAAATACAGTTCCTTGCTGCAGATCATTATTTCTCCATCTAAACTTTGCCTAATCTAGCAAGAAAAAATACAAATGGTAAAATGGGCTGACAAAGAAAAAGTTTATTACAAATATTATTGCAATTGTCTTGAACATCTGCAAAAAGAAAATTTGTCACCATGTCACACACACAACTCCCCATTTTAATCTACACTGCATTTCTGCTGCTTTATGAGTTAAAATTGAAGCAATAATAAATTGTTTCAACAGATGAAAAGTTTACTGAATGTATTGAGACACAGTGCAAATAACCTATAATAGATTTGGAATTAATCAGATCTTAAGGTATTGTTCAACTGCAACTTCCGTCCTTCTTTGCCATGGAAAATATAGGGTTGCTAGGAGTTGCAGTTCAACAACATCAGAGACACTTTCAATTCTGAACGCCTGTGAATGATGTTCACAAGGCATAATGCTAGATACTAGCCAAGATTACTTTTAAAAGTCACTAATCACTAACCAATGGAGAATAGTGTTATCAATAGCTAATAATAGCTGTTGATTAGACAGTATGCCCTCCTCTGCTTATAGTGCTAAATACAGAGGACTAAAAACAACATGAAATGGCTTTGGTTGTCATGCTTGCCTGGAACAATAACAGTTGCTCGCTTTTAGAAACAAAATGCTGGATGTAAAATAGCCTGGCAATTTAGGGCTATGAACCACAGTTCTATACATATAACTTCCTGTTCTCATCCAGAAATATGAAGCTACAATACATGCAGAAGAAAGGTTTACATGTATAATTTGAGGCACAGTTCTTGTAAAATAATTGAGAAAGTACATGCATAATCACGAGTCCCTAGACATAAGCTATGATGAAACAGTTTATTCCAAGCTATTTCTTAAGAGAACAGAAATAAAATTATTTTGTTTGTGTTCATTAAAAATAAAGAATGCCTATTTGTAGTGAATGTAATGAATACAAGCACAGCTACAATAAATAAAAATACAGAGTCACTTACAGTCTGCTGCATTTCACTTATTCACACCTTTCAAATTTAAATATTTAAATATTCACTTACCGATACAAGCATGGACTCTGACTGAGAGTTGGGTCCTTAGGATTATACTGTGTTTTTTGCTCCTGCTTCAGGGAAAAGGGAAAGAAAAAAAATACAGCTAGCATACCACATACTAGTTAAAGCAAAAGTTCACAAATGAACAACTGAATCTCAGCAATTATGAAGCATTTTCCACAAAAAATATGCACAAATCTGCAATGGTTCTTCATTTCTAACTAGCAAGACTTAAATAGTTATGCAATTTTATGTATTTGCCTTTCAGGAGCCCCCGGTAGCGCAATGGGTTAATCCCTTGTGCCAGCAGGACTGCTAACCAAAAGGTCAGCGGTTCGAATCTGGCAAGTGGGGTGAGCTCCCATCTGTCAGCTCCAGCTTCTTATGTGGGGACATGAGAGAAACCTCCAAGAGGATGGTAAAACATCTGGGCATCCCCTGGGCAAAGTCCTTGCAGAAAGCCAGTTCTCTTACACCAGAAACGACTTGCAGTTCCTCAAGTTGCTCCTGACATTAAAAAAAAGTGGCTCATGTGGTTTGCATCAGAAACAACGGATGGTAGCACAATCCTGCGGGGACCAGAATATGCTACTTTGGGGATTCTGAAGGGTGGGGCTGGGGGGGTAAGATGGGCTTCCTTCAATCTGAGGTGACAGCCCCATCCAACACATGATTGGTTAAAAATAAAAGGCATCCATGAACGAAAGGGTGGACAAATGTCTTGCTGTTCACCAGTACAACCATATGATTACAAATAATCTGGGGGGGGGGGGAGTGGAGTGAAAATGCTGAAAGCAGAACATAAGGCTACGTTTGTGAGCATTAGCTGTGAAGTGCTTCACAAGGTCTCACACATTAAAAAAGCTGTTCTGAGGTTCAGGAAATAATTTACCCCCCCCCCCCCAACACACACACACACACTTTGTAGCCACTAAGGCCCCTTCTACACTGCCATATAATCCAGATTATCAAAGGAGATAATCCGCATTATCTACTTGGAACTTGATTATATGAGTCTGCACTGCCATATAACACAGATCAAAGCAAATAATCTGAATTTTATATCAAAGTGTAGAAGGGGCCTTATCGTCTGATTGAAGAGTACCAGAAGACTGTAGCATACAAGTCACATACAAGATTCTGTGGGTTCGTTGTTAATTAAATTTCTATGTAAATGGGAATGTGCAGAGAAGACTGTCAACAGCTGCAGATTGACTGAAGGCATCAGTAGAGGAACTATACGGCTCCCTCCTGGAGCCCGAGGTCTTGCTGCGAATATCTCTCAAGCTACTGTGATTTGCACCTGGCACTTTTTCCTATGCCCCCTACCTAATGTCAATTATACTGCCAATCTGCCGATTTCTTGCAAATAAGAATTGCACTGTGTAGGAGTACCTCTGTAGTCTAATCCCCCATTGCACTGTTGTGAAAGATGACTCGTTAGCACTCCAGCACTTTAATTAACGGGGAGAGTTCTGTTAGTTACTAATATCAATGGTGCTATTGTGCGGTCACTTTAATTTTGCATTTGCACTTTACATCGTGTATTATATAATCACTCCCAACAATGGTCGAATGGCCGGGGAAAATTGGAGATGGTTTTATAAGGCGGAGGAATTGAACTACGATAATGGCGGAAATGATGGTTTAACAACTGCCCGGGCTATTGACATATCATATAACAGTGCACTAGTGAACTCCCAGGATGTAGAGAATGACAGGGGGGGG